TTGTTTGGATCCTAGCTATCCATGCAAGGCATAAGAGTCCCAGCCATCACCCAGTAGTGCTTTTTCCAAAGCAGAATTATGTGCAACCCCAAACAGTGGAGGAAGGAGGCCTCCCCCCTTCTTTTGTTCACAGTATCAACTATTTCTGCTTCTAGAAGCCCATCCAATGAGTCCTACTTGGGCCCATCTGTGAGCAGAGACAGGGGCTGAAGAAGTGAGGAGAAGAATGTGCATTCAAAGACTGCAGTCTCTGGTGTCTTAAGTAATATCGAACATCTTGTATCTCCTGCAGAGAAGCCAGGAATGATGAGCTCAGTCAGTGAAGAAGGTTAAATAATAGTCTCGAATAATAGATTCATAAAGTCTGCACTTCCACAGCAGAGACTGTTCAGCACTGAGAATGGAGAATTTTAATGAGATCTCAGCAAAACAGATAACCTCCACTGTTGATATGTGATAGCGGTCAACAGCCAGGTGAAGCATTTTGTACAATTCCAAGACAACAGAGCAGAAGGGATTGATGCCTAGTGGCCCTGTGGCTAAAGGTTAGCTCTGCATACTTAAACTTTTTGCAGCATTATCCAAGAGGGTGTGCAGGTCCTTTCACACCAGGGGGCTGCGATTGTTTACTAGGGTTGACTAACCTAGTGAATAGTGTCTGGACATCTTGTCAAAAGGTCCACTACTGCCCAGAGTAGCTGTAGTTATACATATGGACATTTAATGGTATAGTCCCTAAACATCGGTCTTCTGGGCTGGAAGTAGAGAACATCTTGGTCCCAGAGTGATTGGCCAACACAAAGACATCATTTGACTTGCTGCACCTTTGAACAGAGTGCAGAAGAAACTTGTGACAATGGCAATTGTGATTGCTGATCTATTGAGCTTCATAATAGCAAGGCTGGAGCGGGAGCTAAACAGGTAGCCTTTTTCTAGCAGCCACCTTAGGCTTTATTCTCTGGGATAACCCAGGGTCATTACCTTCCGGCCATCCTCTAACGTTCCAGTACCTAGGGGCATGCTCTTTTCACTTCCAGTGACCCATTGTTTCCCTACATGGGACATCACTGAAACTCAAGGTCTTAATGATTGCTCCCTTGAATCTATTAAACATTATTGAATGACATTATTATCTGAAAGTTGATCTTTTGGTAGACCTTTTTGAAGTGTTTGGAATACTTATGGATGCTCTCTCTGTTCCAGCAAGGATCTAGGTCAGACCCTTGCTTTATGCCCAAAATAAATTTCCAAATCATACTGAGGACAAGAGATAGTGCTTCCCAACTGTGCGCCCCACAGAATGTACCTGGCTAAAGATAGCATTAGAGATATATGCAGAGAGGGTGGGAGGAATCAAAAGAGAAAATGATGAAAGTAACATTGTGCCATTGTGATGCAAGATCCACCCCCTTTCTACATGCTTCCTGATCTCACATATGTACAGAAGAGGCAGACACCGGGCTGACACTGCTTTCATCATAATTTGTCCAATCCTGCCTCTGGCTAGTTGTACATTGGACTTTTAAGGATCAGCCTCAAATGTGCTTTAGAGGAGCAAAGTGCTGAAAGCTTATCTCCTACAAACAGGAAATCTGGGTCCTATCACTTAAGCAGCAGCATCCGAAAACACTGCTTCTCATTGTTTTTGGCTGTTTGAAATTGTCTCTAATGGAATGTGTATTACTATATTTTAATGTTTTGGGTGATATTATTTTCAGTTTTTATTGTGTATGTAACCTGAGTCATACATCAACTGGGCGGCTATATAAATTGATTAAATAAAATAAATAAATTAGGGAAGAGTTTCCTACTCCACAAGTAGGAGTAGGAAATGCATTGCCATGGTGTTTACAGGCAGCAACAAGCTATCCCCTTCCTGCTTCACAGCCCTCTCTGTAGAAGGGTGACTACATTGGTGGCTTTAATGGCTAGATTATCATTAGTAGATGTTTCTAGGAAAGTTCTAAAGCAGAGCCACTAATCTTTATGGAATTTTATAAAATAGTTAAGACTACCTCCTCAGAGGTGGACTTAGCTGTCCTGGGGCACATATGGTGCTATAAACTTTTACATTCAGCCATGGAGTACTGCTATAGCATTCCTCTTTTCTGCCAACACCATATCTGGTGATCAAGAACACTAGTTGGACTTATCAGGAAGTGCCTTGTGTCACCAGAAGATGAATCCAACAGTCTCACTCCACTTAATAAGGGAAGTCGGTTGAGAATATCTAAGTGCCCAAGGTTCAGTATGTGAGTTTCTTACTGTAGTACACATTGTTTTTTCATTCCCATTGCAAGTATGTTCATACATGGATAAATGATAAAAGAATTGAATCACAGTGAGTGGAAGTCAGTACATGGGACCGAGAGAGTATGAAAGAAGTTTTAAACCCTGCCTTGCAGGTAGAAGAGGTAGAGTTACCCTTTTCCTGCCAGGTCTATCTTCTGTGACTGCAAAGGCACTTCAGAGTAAGTCCAACAACCATTTCACATTGTTCTGCTAATATTAGAATGGGAGAAGTCTGTTGGAAGCTTCAACCATGCCTGAAGCATAATAACTTGAGTTTGAGATGAAAAAAGTGTTTTTATGTTTAGGAAGTTTTCTTCAAAATAGATGAAGCATAAGCAAAATCATGTGAACTATGAACATTATCAGTTAATTCAAAAGTGGCAATATACACACATACTCTAGGAGCTCTAGTATTGTTGCCATGTAATATTTTATCATACATTTAAGAAAAATAATAACTTCCAGGCAGCTATTTTAAGGCCAATTTTCCTTGATAATAATAGAACAGATTTTATTCTAGACAGTAAGTTAATATTCCTCAATTTCTTAGTAACTGCTCTGCCCACTGATGAGCTAAGAAGACTTGAGCTTCAATATAGCCCCCCCCCCCGTCATCTTGAATGTTTTTAGTATTTATGTACAGGGTTTGTTGTCTGTATTTGATTTTTAATGGATTAATTTATTTTAACTATTTATGGGGTATGTTTAATTGTTGATGGGTTTTTGATTTTAACTGTGAGCCGCCCAGAGTCACCCGTTGGGGGGAGATGGGCAGCATACAAATGTAAGAATTAAATAAATAAATAATCTATCCATCCATCCATCCATCCATCCATCCATCCCAGGCTTTAATGTCTAATATCCCATATTGCAATCAGTTTATATATACATTTTAATTAAGGTGACATTCTATCTATATAAATAGGCTACTTAATTGTTCAGATATATGTCAATGAAGTTACAGTTAATTTTACATGTTTTCTATTATTGCCCATTATTTCCTTCTATTACTTTTCAAAAATACAGATTGCACCATTGTGCTGTTGTAAGAATGGGTTGTGAACTAGTCAACTGCCCTGTAGTGCAGCTGGTGTCTACAGTATCTCTTGGAAAACTGCAGGCTGGATGCAAACTAATCGTTTTTAAATGCTGGTGTAGCCACAGGAATAGAGGCTTGGAGGCAGAGCTGGGAAAAGTAATTTTCTGTCTAGTATGCTTCACTGATCCATAAGGAAACTTCCACATGCCTTCAGCCATTATCATCAATTTTCTCAGCCATCTATTCTTCCCCCTCAAAGTACAAGTTGATTTCCACTCCTATGACAGGTTAATTCCCAGCTGATGAAGTTGGGAAGGAACATATATGACTGGTTAGGGTTTTTTTCTTCTTTCCATAGCAACACACTTCACAGTAGCTCACATATATTTTAGTCCTATTTCTTTGCCATGACTTTTCCCTGGGGGAGTGCTGGAGGCAAAGAATCAAAATTCTTTTTAGGGGGAGAAGTGCAGCTGATGGTAGCTGGCTTTTCCAAAAAAAGAAGTTCATATATGGATCTTGGGAAGTGGCTATAGAATTCCAACCTAGTTCGGCTGACAGCATGCCTGTCCCTCATCCTGGTATCAGGAGTGGCTTCCATTATATATTGTAGCTGATCCACATTCTTGCCAGCTGAACTGTTGATGGACTAGATATCTGTGTTATGGTATGGCAAAGATCTGTAAATTATAGCCAATAAAGATTGTTGCCACTTTTACTCCAAATCCTGACTCCACGTGGACTTTGCCCCCTTTGTCTAACCAGAATTGATTATGTGGTGCAAATGTTGCCTTTTAAAATCAGGATTTGATGATATCAGCTAAAGAAGGTAATCTTCATAACCTAAATAGAAAGCACCAAGAAAATATAAATAAATATTGCAGCACTCTCTGTGAAGACGATTCTAGGCAAGGTAGATAGTTTCCCAAAGCTCATCATGTTTTATCGTGTAAAGTTTTTTTTCAACCTGGAACCATTCCATAACCAGCCAAAATCTTTTGCCTTAGGAAGCAATAGATGCAGAGTTTATCCATTTTGCTGTAAAAAATAATAAACTGTTCATACAATTGACTGTCTTCAGAACTATTTTTACCATATTGTCCAAATAGATTCAACTACTTTGATTCTGCTTCATTGTTCTAGAGATAGCTCTCTGTTTCTTGGCAACCCAGTGAAAATCTTTTTTGAGATAATAGTCACTATGTATTCATTAACTTTTTTTTAGCCAAGGGGTATGTTTGACAATGTGATTCATAAACAATGTGGTGGTTTTGATGGGACAGTTTTGTTCTTTTCAGTGGCAAGATAGTTTGTTGTTTAACAGAGATTCAGTTGCACCTAAACAGAAATAAGACTGGAGTATCCATGTTTTAGATGGAGTTTTAATTGCACCTTCTTTTTACCCTGTTCACCTGGCAGGCTGTAGAGTGCTGAGTACAGGAACAATTGGATAAGTATACTTCTATGATTTTCTCATTGCATACATTACATTTATCTAAGTCCATTATTGTTTATTTTTCTTTAGATCAAACTTTACATGCAAGTAATGTTGAATGTTTAACCGAAATACTAGAACAGAATGTTTAGTAAACAGTAAATTGAGATGCATGCCTAATAGCTGCACATTGTACTTCAATTTGTTGAGTTTTGATCTTGATTTAACTCATAGGTATCCGGTACAATGATGGGAAAAAATGATGAAATGTGTGTTGCAACATCACAATGCAAATACTGTTCTGTCAGAAGCAAGCATGTAAGTCACAGGGTTTGTGTTATGGTGTCACAATGCATGTTTTGCTATTTCTTCCGCCCCTTGTCCCACCTTGCAGATGCTTATGACTTAACTCATATCTAGTATCTGGTCTCTGCCCACCCACTCAATTGATCTTCATAATTTTTCACACAGAACTATGTTTAATAATTTTTCATATAGAACTATTTTTCCTGGCATATACAATTAGGCAGACTTCTTTTATATAATCTCAGTATTTGTCACTTTGTGTTGATTACTCAGCATCTTGTTTGATTTTGTGTGATGTTAAATATTCTCAGTAAGGGTAGACTTTTTAGCCAAGAAGGTTGGCTGAGCTTTTGCTTTATTAATATTATAAGTGGATATAGTGATGATATGAATGAGTAATCACATTGGCTTACTTTTTTTTGTTTTGTTTTGTTTTGCAAAAAACACACTCCCAAATTAGCACTAAAGACAGAATAATCCACATGTATCAATGACCATGTATGTCTGGCACATTCTTGCAATTATGCTGTAATTTCTGTATAGTAAAGAACAATGTGATGAATTATTGTATGAGCGCTTTAAAAGAAGTACATAACTGCATTCATAATGCATACTTGCATTATAATTTAAATTTCGCAAATTTTGTCTGTGTTTTATTTCAATTTAGACTTAGCTGATTCCAAGTATTGGACCCAAGATACCAGTTGCTGGTACTTAACTTTTGTCATATATTAATTTTAGAATATAATCAAAAAGTCTGAAAGAAAAGAAAATATCTCTTTCCCCGTATTGAGTATTACCTCATTTTAGCTATTGTCTTGGTTACTATGATTGCTTTATACAATAATGGCTCTGCTGATATTTCTGGCCCATTTTTCTTTTTAGCGCAAATGAACATAGAAATTGCCACAGTACCCAGGAGGATTGTACATGTCAGGCATATTGTCACTCACAAAACCACTGTCATCTTGAAACTACACACAAATCTCTAAAGCGTCTTTACAGTCAGTGAAACGTAATTAACCTTGTAGCAGAGAATTTGAGGGAGCGGTGATTTTTTCTCTTCACCACCACTGGAATTTCTTTTGAAGTAAAATGTATTTACAGTATCAGAAGAACATAAGTGAATTGTAGTGAACCCCAAGCCCAGTAATTCTTCAAACCCATTTTATCAGTGACAGGAAATAGAAATCTAAATCCTGTTGCTGTTGCTAATACACCTTTTCAAACAGGGAGGGAGGGGAATATTAAGAAAAAGCAAGATGGGGGTTGCAGCCTAAGCCTATTTCATGGATATGGGCTGACAGACCCTCCAAATCCAAGATAAGAAAATGAACTGTAAAACACTTCAACAAAGTTTGTTATTTTTTCCTCAGTCTGTCATAAAACTTTATTTAAATAACTTACACTACAGTTCTCAGATTTATTTATCAAGAATTCTTGCCTATCACTGCCTCTCCTTCCATCTCTGTTGAGTGGTTCTGCTGGGGCCAGGCATATGGTAAAGCCCTATTTTATTTGCTTTTGTTGAATTTATACATTGCCTTTCAGTTTATTCCAGTAGTCAAGGTAGCTCACAATGACATACATGGCTTTCCTTGCCTGAGCATTTTTAGTTGACTTTCTGTTGCAGTCAAATGATTTTTCTCCACCAATCTTGCTGCTTTGGGATTAATGAGTCACTAGTTCTGACCTCATCATAACTGGGATGAACAAGGGGCATTACTGACTCAGCCACTCACTGGCTTCCTATCTGTCCTATCCAATTTTGCTATCTCCTTTCTTTCCCCAATTTCCTAAACATACTCCTTTAAAGCCTTTGCACCCATCCATGGTCACAGTCCCTCCCTGTCTGAATGCAGCTGTGGCTCATTTCCATTTATATTATTGGTTCTGGCCACCTACTCTGCCAGTCAACAGCACAATCTTCTCCTGAGTGTTGTCCACATGGATCAAAATCTCTTCCGCTGGGAAGGGTGATCCTGTTGCTCTAATACAATATTTTAATTTTAAAGAAAGTAAGGTATTTGTTCTCTGATGGATGGTGTAGCATGAGGAGAAAAAGATGCAGCAAGTCTTAGGATCATGCCTAAGTTTTTATTTCAAATGCAATTTTTTTTTGTTTGAAACCGAAAATTTAACTCTGATTTTTTAAAACAAACATGAGGTATGAAGTGGGCTTCATAAAGCACAGTCAGTTAAACATGACGTAGTGCTAATAAATTGTGCTTCATGGAAAATGGAAAATAGGTTTCATGTCTTTTTTGCTTGCCGCCAAAAGAGAAGAATGTAAGGAGAATTCATGTGCCTGAAGCTTACTATGTCACCAATTACAGTGTAGCTTAATAAGATGTCCAAATATAGTCACCAACCATGGGGCAACAGAGAAATTATGCTGTATTCTTTAATGTAGTGAAAAGTATAATATAATACTATTTGTCTCACTTTTTTCTTCTTCTTTTGTTGCAGGATAATAAAGTTGTTTTGGCAGTTGATTTTACAGCCAAAAGTAATTTGCCACAGGAATTCCTGCTGTTAGCTCTTTCTTCTGTTGTTGGTTAATGGAACAGACATGTTAAGCACAAAATAGAGATACACACAATTTTGTAACAGTGATTTGTACAGTATGTTCTGCACAAAACTGAAAGAGCTGAAGATCACTGGCGAATGTCCTTTCTCCTTGCTAACCCAGAGTGGCATTTCAGATGAAAACGAAGAAGAATGTGGTGAGGTGCCAGACAGTTCTAAGGCTCCTTTGCCCATCTGCAGAGAGAAAGACCCTCGTGGAAACCTTCCACAAAGGAAAACCAGCAGAAGCAGAGTCTTTCTGCATACTTTGGCTGAGAGCATTTACAAACTCATCTCTCCAGAGGTAAGTTGATTGGAAAATCATGTTTTTTAAAAATATCCCTTTCCAGTCTTTGTTCGATTTTTGTTTATGCCCAGTTCAACTGTTTGAAACATTTTGATAAAGGTACCCCAGGTATGATACTTTCATACATCTTGATTTAGCCGTTACTTAACAAGGCTCACATGGGCTAGCAAACCTAGCAAAACTCAGGGTACAGAATTAATTCTGGCAAGAGCATTACAGCAAAATTTATCTGGACCTGATTTTTTAATACATTTCATGGCTCAATCTTTTTTTACAGCAATAGAGCTTCTAGTTTTTAGAGATTCTGACTATGCCTTCATAGTAACGATGGAGACATCCAATATATGCTAATAGGGGTGGGATTTTTGTCTTAACAAAATCCATTTTATTTCTTCTTCCCAGGCTGAAGTTTCCTCCCTAACCTATTTTTAATAATATTTCAAAAGAAAATATTTCAGTTTAGTGAAGCTATTTGAAAAACATCCATACCACAGAATTATTATGAACATTGATAAGAAACAGAACAATGTCTAAGGGTACTTCTTAGAGAGAAAAGTAGTTTTCTTCTTATTATTCAATCTGTCTAATAGTGCTTCTGCTTCAGTCTAGATGAAACAAGTTACCTAGTGCCCCCTGAACATTTTGTATTTAACTGCCATTAGTTTCAATCACAATACTCAGTGGCAGGGGATATGGGAATAATTGTCTAAATTATTCATCTGGAGTGAATCTAATTTCCTGTTCCTATCAGCATTTCTTATGGATCTCTAAAGCAGAGATGTTTTTGAATCACGTCTGGGATCCTTTAATGGAACATCGGATGTGTGACCTTTAATATGTAAAATATATAGCCTGCCATGTCTAAAGTCCTTTTCAATATATTCATATTACATTCCTATTGAAGTAGAATAGGAATCCAGTATGTATATGGATGGTGGGGATATTGAATCCTATATGAAGCTGTTTTCTAGTATACCTGCAGAATTTTATATATAAATTGGCTGAGAAAGTATTGCAATATTACAAGGAACTGATTATAATATATGGGACAAAGCTGCCCCCTAATTGCATATGTTTCCTTAGATAGAACCAGATTTATTTAAAAGTTAGCCTGTCTTTCCACTGGCTCAAGATCAGTTTATGTTACCCATTTTCCACTTGGAAAGCTTTCTGCAACTATCATGCCCCGGATCTGTTTGTATGCTTCCATTGACGTCAATCAGAGGTTGTTGTAAGAATCACATGGAGAATACAGTATGGGCTGAAATAACATTTGATGAAATTCAAGATACCAATAAATGCATGTGATTTTTCTTTGCTTATTAATTCATTTGAGTTAAAAAATAGAAATGCAGAATCAAGTAAGGATATGGAAAATCCTTCACATATTGTTTCTGTTTAAATATAACTATTAATTACATCTTGTTTTAATAAGGAGAAATATTTCTGTTCTTTTTATTTCAAATGCAAAACATCAAAGTCAGCACTACAGTTTTTCTTGAGGCAGCATAATCTTCCTTCATCCCTATTTTCCTTCCATAAAATGTCTAAAATATTGAAAATGGCAACAGATGTTAAACATAGCTACCCAAGTTTGCCATTCTGATGGATTGTAATAATAGGACTTTGGACGACCATCTATTGAGGAAAGTTGGAGTCTGGATAACCATCTTGGATATCCTGCAATATGCAAAGGCCTGGCTTAGTTGCTTAGATACTCTGCAAGTCTCCTTCATTGGTCATGGAAATTTGCTTACTAGAAGTCTCTTAAAGCCATCATAATCTCTGGGTTCGATAGCTGAGGGGTAATAGAGAATAACTGAGAAGAACAGGTACACTGTTCATTTTTTAAAATCAATACAACTACATGATCACTGACTATTACAGTGCATTAATACAGAATTGTTGGTGCAATAGCAGCTGTTCTGGGTGACCACATTATTTGAATGGATCATAAAATAAAATTGTAAATTTATGATCCATATGCAGATGTGGCCATTTTGATGAAGAACCCTGAAAACAGTTGTGCCACTATGCAAACAAGACAGATATGTTAGCTAGGGATTCTGGCAATCCATGAATAGTATATTTTTGTTTTGTATGAGATTGAATTCTACCTTAAACAGGATTTACAGCTGGGAGATGCTCCTGGATTCAGTCCTGCTGCTGGCTGGCCAGGTGGTTGGTTGACATTTAGTGAAGACGCTATACTAGAACATCAGCTTAATTTATGTAAATATTCTCCAAGCGTGGCTGTCTGAAGAAAGTTCAAAAACTGCTTTTTGTCTAAATTGTGGTTGGCAAAGTGTTACACAAATTAGAAAATTTTGTGCAGATCCTTGGATAGAGTCCTTCATATTTAAGTATATATTTCTATTAAATACATAGGATGGATTTGGAATCTGAGCTCAATGACATTTGTACCTTTTGTCTCCTTCTGCTTAAAAGATCAGGTTCTTTCTGATTCCACTATTACGTGTTTAAATATCATTTGATTTAATATGACCTTTTCTCATTTCAGTATGAAAGGTTATATCTTGCATTTCAAAGAACCCTAGCCAATAATAATATAAAAGAAATCAGGTAAGTTATCTACAGTTGCAACATTTAATAAATTCAAAAATAATTTTTGAAGTTATTGCTGCCTCATTAATCCCTAATTCCTATTATATAAGGACTAAGTTTTAATACTTACAAAGTATAAGTTGAACAGCAACTTTGCAGTATAATTTCTTCTGTCAGTATTTTGGACTGTAAGGTTGAATATGCTTTTGGTAGAGTGAGGTGTATTATTAAATAAGGGCTTTAAAATTATGAAACACAGTGCATATATTCTGTAGCAAAAATGGGCAGAAAGTTGAAAATAAACTAACAAGCCTCTGGGTGATTTTTCAGTAAATCAGCAAAGGTTTCTGTCTCAGTTATACAATAAGAGCAACAAGCATGGAGATTAACACAAGATGGCAACACAAATATATATAAAATGTGAACTCTTCGTTGCTGTCTTGTGATCATCTTGATTTTTGCACCTCAGGTCTGGTGACCCTAGGTAACTGCCCAGTTTGTTGCTGAATGCAATACCCGAAATATAAAACAAAGCCTCCTGTACTAAATAATGAAGAGTTTGAACTATAATTTAATAGCAAAATATTAGAGTTTTTCATCAGGACAGGGTCAAGAGGCTGAATCTTGAGCTATAGCCCCTTTTTTAGAGTACTGGAATGCTTCACTACTTTGAAGATAGCTTGCGCCCTTTGGCTCGCCTTTTGAGCTGCGCTGTCATGAGAACTGACAGCTGACTTTTACACATGTAAAGTACTCACTTTTTCCTTAGAAAAAGGGAATTAAGGTGCCTAAGAGCCAGATTCAGGCTGGACTGTACCATTTCCTAGCATTGTGGCTGCTTCTCTGATCTAGCCAATTTGGAAGTTAAAATATTTTTGATATAATCAGAACAAGCGTTATGATCTTTTTATGGCACTGCAGTCGTAAGCAAACACATTTGGCTGCCAGTTTGATCGATTTTCAAGGTTAGATTTGCTTAGAATTACATGGGTGAATATGGGTGAATGGATAGGATGGTCATAATTCAATTTGTGAAAAATTGAAAAACAAACTAAGAATAAGTATTGTTATATGTTAAACACTGGATACATTATTTATTGTTTTATTAATTATTGCTATTCAAGAAAAGTTTTACTTGGTCTTGTAAAACAAATTGTAGTGTTAAAAATTCTGTTTTTCTTCATTTACAGACAGTGTGGGGAAAAAGACTTTGAGAAGCTGATCACTGATCATGCAAATGTGGCTGGTAATGACATATTTATGAATAGCAAGGACTATCACTACAACCAGTTTATGGTTATTAAGCATCTTCAATGACCTGAGTTCTACCAAGATCACTAATAACGTGGAGTCTTCCTAAATGTTTTACAGTCAAAAGGAAGACATGCAGCTGAACAGGCAGATAATTAATGATAACAACAGCTGAGTTTATGTGGCTTGTATTCTGACAGCATTGCATGAAATTGTTGACAATGCTAACCATCTAATTGTTCTGATTAATATATTTAAGATATTTACACCCCACTTTTTATCCTAAAAGGTTTCCTCGTATATGTTGGATACTATTTGTTTATCATGGGGGGAGGGGGTGTTAAATAAATGCTTGTTCTACAGAGAAATGCCATACCCCCATAGTTAAACCCCAGTACTGAATCACTAAGAAAATGTGATTCTATTTTCTCTCCCCCCTCCCTTTTCTCCTCTGTTTATTGCCTCTTTTGATACATTTTCATTATTCTGTGGACATCTTGCTGGTCAGTAAATAAAGTTCATGAAGAATATAAAATACAACATATTGAGGATGCATCTTCATATACTTCAAGGAATGATCTGGTTGTCTAATAAAAGGAAAGGGTATGGATGGGAAGCATGCAGTGATTAGGAGATCCAACAGAGTTGAATATTTGGCACCTGATCCTTTCTATTTTCCATTCATATATATTTCATTCTTTATTACAAATAAGGACAACTGTTAAAACACTTATTTCTTAAGTGGAGTTGCCCGCACCTTGTTGTTGTCTATTGGTTAATTAGAAGTTACGTTGCCCTCCATGAAATCACATGGCAGCGTAGAACAATATAAATAATAAATTGCTTAGGCTGCAATCCCAAGGATGTACCAGAGTCCTTTTAAAACAAAGTGATCTGTCCTCAGAAGTGGTTATTTAACCTCAGAAACTTCTTCCCAATTCCAAGGAAATGTTATAGAAACAAAATATTAGAAATATGAAAAGGATTGTAGCAGGGCATCAGGCAGTGGGGGCTGGGAAAGGAACTGATGGTACCATTGTGGTGTTGCAACAACCCCCCTGCCCCTTTTCTATGTGCATCATGCTGTTGCATGTGGCATGCATGCCTAAAGGGGTGGAGTTTGCCAACTAATGTTGCAGCACCGCTTTCATCATTCTGATAAAAACAGTTCCTGTGGATGCCGCTGACTGTCCACTCATGCCTCCAAAACAAAATGGGGAACAACTATTCCAAAAGTGGCGTTGAGGTGGTTCGCTTAACTCCCTTTATCATCAGTATGAGAAAAACAGCTTGAGAAAGAAAAGGAAAATAGGAAAGAAAAACATCTGCTGTTTTGCCCTCTCTTCTGCCATGCCAGTAGAAGCTCAGCTTGGCTTTGGCTATTTCAATTTTGCAGCCGTTCTCCATATCCAGATTGCTTTGCCCAGGCTTTAAAATTTAATCTTTTTGTGACAGATTTTCATTTTAACTGGGTTTCTTATACATTATTTACAACTAAACATTTTCTGCTCTACCCCTCAAATTGGAATACTTTCCTAATACTTAACAGGAAAAATATCCTAAACCCTAGCTCATTCCCCTAAATGCCCTCTTCTTTTCTTTGTTATTCACACATATATGCAAACAGCTCCCTCCATAAAACATTGGAATGCGTATCTCCTCTGATGTTGTCTCTCTATAGCAAGATCAAATTAAATGTTATCTCAGATTATCTCAAATTCAAATTAAATGTTAAGCTGCAAAGATAGAACTCAAAATCTATGGGATGAGTTCCCTTGATTAGTAGGAGAAAAGCAGCAATCAGAGAGTTTCATTTTTCTCATCCCCAGCTTTTCCCTTTCAATCTTTCATCATCCGCATCTCTATGCTTCTCATTTTAGGAGGGGAAGTGGCTGTGAGCAAATTAAATAACAAAAGGATTAAAGATCTACCTGGGTCCCATTTTTCATTTGCCACTTGTACCAATAGTAATTTTTAGTAGAGCAATTGCATCCCAAATTGCAGAATGCTATTTGCTGCAGATTTCTAGTTGGTGGTTACGTTTCATCAGCAAGAGCCCAAAATGCTCACCAGATTTTGGCAAAAAAAAAAAAAAAATCCTTTGCTTCAGTCATACAAGGTCTCAGGGGAGAAAAACTCTCTTCAAAGAGCGGTCTAAAATAGCTATTTATCTGAAGTGTTCCGTAATAGAAAGCAGGGTTAGATAAAGAAAATGAAATAGGAGAATGTACACTGAAAATCAAAAGCACATTAACGGGGAATTTAAAGACTGTATTTAGAACAATACTGGTAACCAAAATGTCTTATGCTGGCAGGAATTCCAGTCAATGTTGTCAGAGAATCACTTGGCGAAGAGCTTTTCAGAATATGTTATGAAGAAGATGAACACATCCTTGGAGTTGTTGGGGGAACTCTCAAAGACTTTTTGAACAGTTTCAGTACTCTTCTGAAGCAGAGCTCCCACTGCCATGACGCTGGAAAAAAAGGCAGAGTTGAAGAAGTCTCAATTTTGTGTTTGGAAAAAGACCCCCATTTTTTAAATGTGTACTATTTCTTTCCCCAAAAGCCAACTACCCTCATCCTGTCGGGCATTATTAAGACAGCAGCTCTCATTCTGTATGACATGGAGGTGGAAGTAATGGTAATGCCACCCAGCTTCTGCAAGGACAGTTCTGAATTTATTGATCAACCTTATTTGTTGTATTCTGTGCACATCAAAAGCACAAAGCCATCACTGTCACCCTGTAAACCCCAGTCTTCTCTTGTCATTCCTACTTCTATGTTCTGCAAGACCTTTCCTTTCCATTGCATGTTTGACAAGGACATGGTTATTCTGCAAGTTGGCAATGGCATCAGGAGACTATTAAACAAAAGAGAATTTCAAGCAAAGCCACAGTTTGATGAGTGGTTTGAAATTTTGGCTCCTAAAATAAATTCCACATTTAGTGGGATCATGACAATGCTGAACATGCAGTTTGCTGTAAGAGTGAGACGAGGAGACAAGGTTCTTAAGAAGTCAACTGGGGTAAGAATTGGATGTATCTTTTTTCTTCATTTCCTCATTATATCCATTTTTCTTTAATTCAGGTATGAGACTATGCCTGAATTTATATATCATGCTGATCTATAGTTTGCTTAATTATATTTGTTTGGATAAATAAGCCATAAACCATGGTTCATAGCCTATAGTGACATGGTTCATAAACAAATCACATTATGACTTACAGTACTGTGATGAATGAACCCAGCCAATCAGTGGATTCCTGTGAATAATTCACCTCACCATTTTATGTTTTTGCTTAATTTATTAATGCATGAAGGGGAAAAACTTATTAAGTATTTGAAATATGTATCTTAACTCTATGTATGTTCACTTTCAGTCAGTACAATAGATGTTCCAAAAGTGTCAGATGTTCTTGCATGCATTTGAGAACAAGAAGTTCTTCAGCTCTTACACATTATTCCTACTGAGGCTCTCTGTATAAATTTGGGAATGTTTTGCTCTAAAGATTTCATTTTGAAATTTGATGGGTGGTGGATTATCATAGTACTGCTTACAATCCAATGATTAATAAAAGCTATAGTTTTACTTCCACGTTTGATATTGTTAGACTTGATAGTATGTAGATTAGATGTTCTGAATTCATTCTCCTTCAGATTCATACTGATAGCACATGCAAGAAAAAAGTCTAAGCTATAAAAAAGTTGGTAGTTCTAGCAAATTCCCAGCCCCTACTTATGCATTTAAAAAAAGAAAAGAAACCCAGCAGATCCACTAGGTATTCTATATAAGTTATTCCTGTCCTTAGACAAATTGGCCTTTTTTCTCCTTCTGTCATAGAAGCTAGCCTGTTGATAGATTTATTTTCTGATTGTTTTTTGCTCTGATTTTCTATCCATCCATCCATCCATCCAATACTTATATCACTATCCATCTCACAGCAATGACTCTGGTCAGTGTACAAATTTAAAACAATACTTTAACAGCTACAACACCTCAGGTCAAAATAGTAATCCCAATTTGTAAAAACAGGATTAACTATCAGAGCTCAGCTAACCTGGCCTAAATATCTGGGGAACAGCCAGATCTTCAGTGACTTAGAAAAAACTAATAGGGTCGGGGCTGTCACAATATCCAGAGAGATGGGGTTCCACAGGGCAGGCACTGCCAGAGAGAAAGCATGACTCTTGGATCCAACAAGGTGACATTGTTTGATGGAAGTAACCCAGAGCATGTCCTCCCTGTTGGATCTGGTGGGCCAAGCAGAAACAAGCAGTCCCACAAATAGCCTAGCACTATGCCATGTAGGACTTTATAGGTGATAACCAGCACCTTGAATCACCTTTATGTATCCCTTTCCTTTGTGTGATATCCTAGTGTGAAAAGCATTGGTTAGTTCTTTAGATTAATTGATCATGCTCATCTTGATGAAAATTGCAACAGTCTAGAGATACTTTTAAAAACTTACACATTTATAATTTATCACAATTAACATTATCAGAGTTATAGAATATAGGCATCAGAAAGTAAAAATCTATTAAATACATAGTTGTTTATGGAGGAAAGGTAAAGGAGGAATGGTTGTTCAGAAATGAGGGAGAGTGGTGAGGATAATACTTTGGGCTCCAAATCCGGAGCAGTTTGTCTGGAATGTCAGTAGATACCACAGATTAAATAAGTTGAGTTTTGTTACCTTTGTATATGTTAAATAGATTCAGAATTCTCTCATTGCTTCATTTTTCTCTCTTGGCTTAGGTTATGGACCTTAAAGGACAAATGATCTACATTATAGAATCTAATGCCATTTTATTCTTGGGATCTCCCTGTGTGGATAGACTGGAAGATTTTACAGGACGTGGCTTATATCTTTCAGATATTCCAATTCATAATGCACTTAGGGATGTTGTTTTAATAGGTGAACAAGCCAGAGCTCAAGATGGATTGAAGAAAAGATTAGGGAAGCTTAAAGCTACTCTTGAGCAAGCACATCAAGCTCTTGAAGAAGAGAAGAAGAAGACAGTTGATCTTTTGTGCTCTATTTTCCCTGAGGAGGTTGCTCAGCAGCTATGGCAAGGACAAGTTGTACAGGCCAAGAAATTTAATAATGTCACAATGCTTTTTTCTGACATTGTAGGATTCACTGCAATCTGTTCTCAGTGTTCACCCATGCAGGTTATCACCATGCTTAATGAGCTCTACACTCGCTTTGATTATCAGTGTGGAGAACTGGATGTCTACAAGGTAGAGAATTTATTGCATCAACTTGGCTTTCCAGAGAGAAATAATTGCAAAGAAGTGAATGGGATTTGAAGAACTATTTTGATTCAGAGCTTAAAAGTATAACAGGTTTAAAACATGATATATAATTAAATGAAACATGTTTATTTGCAGCTAAACTGTAGGTGTAATCAAGTAGGAAGTATAATGTAACTTAGAAGTAAAATAAGTTGTATGGAAATTATATGCTTTAGACTGCAATCTTTACTACATTTACCTTGAAATAAATATATTGACTTCAACGACACTATTTATGTGTAAGTGCTTTGAGATTGCTGATAAAGCCTCACAGAAGTAGAATTCAAAGTAAATATTTTGACATAATAACACTTTTATTATAATGAAGAATTGCCACAAATGAATCAGAGTTTGCAATGCAAAAATCTTTAGCAGTTGATAAATTGCCTAAGAACTACCAATTTACATTTACTTTGACTAAAGGAGTAGAATGGTGGGTGGTTTGGGAAAGAATCTGGTTAACAGAAGCATTTCAAACTGTTTTGGATTTCCTTTTTTATTTTCTTATCTTGTAAATTGTTCATTTTAATGTTTAGGTAGAAACCATTGGAGATGCATATTGCGTAGCTGGAGGCTTACACAAAGAAAGTGAGACCCATGCGATTCAGATTGCACTAATGGCACTGAAAATGATGGATCTGTCCAATGAAGTGATGTCACCACATGGAGAATCCATCAAGGTTAGCAAGCTATCTGAAATGTCTACAATTACTGATATTTTCTGTACAGTGTCAGGCTTCTCCCAAACTGATACCTGCACTAGAAGACTCACAGTTTGGCTCCCTGGACAAAATTCTTGATAAGTTTGTTTTTAGTTTGATGTTGAAAAATCAATGAATATAAATAAAACTAGCACCTGCATTTGTAAGACCCAAGGTTGTGTGTAACAAATCCAGAGTTAAAACCTTACATTTTTTTCTTCCGCCCATATATCTGAATGCTATGACAATTAGCCACTGTTTTGTCAGTGGGAGGAATGGTTGATACTTTGCACTGTTATTGCAATGGATCATCTGCTCTCAGGAAATGTCCTCTTTTGTTATTACTGACCCTGCAATATCAACTTGTCTGTTTTTCTTTCACACATGCTTTAATTTAATTTAATTTAATTTAATTTAATTTAATTTAATTTAATGTGTGAGCAATGTTTCATATTAATGACGCATTAATTCATTTGCTGTGAGTTGTGTTCCATATTAATTGGAGGTTTTCATAGTTCAGTAGCAGGACAAATGAAGGACATCTGTGAACATATTGCCAGTATTTGGTAAATTTAAGACATCGTATAAGGGCATTAATTTAATCAATGAAATGGTAAAGGACAAAATTCTACCTATTTCCCCAACGTAAATTATCTCATCCTGTTTATAAAAACTTCTTATAGTCCATCAGTAGAGAAAGAAATAGATATTTGATGCTTATGGTAGATAAAACTTTGATAGGCTTATAGAGGGTTGCTTGGAGAGGTTACAATATAAATAAATAGTAGTGTGCAAGACAGTTATTGGATATGGGAGGATAAACATACTGCACTGCATTATTAAAATATAATTGTGGGATCATACAAACAGAACAGTGATGAAACTCATAGTTAGTGTTGATTTGGGGGGGGGGGAAGGTAATATGATATAATTTCTGGAATGTAAAACCTGAGATGTGAAAATGTTGTACATAATACCAGCAGAGCATTATTCAAGAAAAGGTAATGTTTTACTTTTTGAACCTCTGCTATAACTAAGCCTTGCTTTTTCTTCTTTTTATCCTTTGTAATATATGAAAAAGGCACTTTCATTCTGATACTGTGAATATGAATTTATTCAGATTAACTTCTTGAAGTGCACCTAGGAATTAATGCTCTTCCTGGGCTTCCACCTGGAGGAACTGTGGCATAGTCAGGAATCATAATGCTGTGTCTCACTGAAAAAAAACAAGCCATGTTCATATAGTTATTTCCCTTTGCCCTAGCTCTCATGTAACACTAAGTCATAATGTATTTCTGTTTTTGGCTTAGTGTGATATGTGAATCCATCCATTATAGCTTAATACTAGGTATGAACCAGGCCATTATGGCTTTGTTACAAATCATAGTTTAAAAAATCCTGGTTTTATATGTGAATGCAGCTATTATGCCTTTGAAGAACCTTGAATGTTGTAACCACTTTAAATCACACTGTGTGAAAGTCATCTGTACTTATTTGCAAGCTAAGAGTTTTAATTATAAGGTGGCTTTCTGACCTTTTCCTAAATCCTGGGAAATCAACCATTCCCTGTATGTTTCTAAATGAAGAGGTTATCTTTAAAGTACTGCAGCTATACAAACTCCATTTGTTTCCATATAACTTCTTCACAAGACTTGTTTACATTAATGTTATACATTAATGAATATGGAAATTAACCACTCTGAAGGCTCAGATAGCTGTTTTGATCTGAAATAGATTTGATTGAATTTCTCTTTCAAATCAAATATTTCAAATGTAATCAGATGTTTTTCAATCAAAGGTTTTGTGCACTTTCTGGTTTTGTAGAAACTCAGACATTGTTGCTGCTTTCCTTCCCTATATAGGCAAAGCTGATGAAGGGGTATAAGATGTATGAATGTCTCTCTAATATCAATATGTTTTAACAGCTCCATAAATATACTGGTGTAGGCTTTCATGGTCAGTATCTGTTGGGCAGTGTTGAGCTTCGGGGTTTAGTGACCATGGTTATGATGCACTGCGCCATAATGATCATGAAATTCAATTCAACAACATTAACTATTACATATGCCTGCACAGAGGAGCTACTGAGATCCACAAACATCCCAACAGCTTCAGCAAGAAAGAAGAAAGTCTGAAGGTTAACAAAGCCTGGTTACCTGCTCTGTGCCACGCCAAGCACTGCCCAAAAGCAGGACCAACCAGGAATCAGCTCCCCAAAATGGTCAAATCAGAACCTTGCCAGGAAAAGGAGCCAATCAGAATTCAGCTGCTCAGACTAACCAACCAGAACCCAGCACAAATAAAGAACCAGTCAGGAATCAGCACTCCCAAAATGATCAATCAGAAGCTGGCACGAACAAAGGACTAATCAGGAACTAACACCACCAAAATGACCAAGCAGTATTGGGTGCAAAGAAAGAACCAATCAGAGAACAGTCCTCACCAACTGCACTAATTGGAAGCCAGCTTGGCTAAAGACCAATCAGAAGTCAGGATGTCTGGATATATAGGCAAGAGCCCAGTCAGTCCCTGCTTAATTGTGTATGATCTGTGTAGTTTCTGTAGGTGCCAGTTATGGTTGCTGGTGAAACATCAGGAAATCTATTGTCTGGACCATGGTCACTAAACCCTGAAGCCCAACATTGTCTGACTCCATAAATATTGCCTATCAGATTATTTGTTGCTCTGCTTTTTTTTAATCTCTCAAGCTTGTGCAATATTTGCTTGTGCAAATATTGTCTGAGTAGAGGAAGTCTGTAAGAAGGAGACAAACTTGTTTTTTTTTTTTGCAAAATTGAGTCTGAGATAGGTTGCTTGCTGTTCAACTACTTTGCATATAATACAGACTATTCCTTTATATTGTAGTATATTGTACATGCAATAGTGATAACATGTTTCAGGCTTTGGGGGCTTTGGTGCTTCTTTATTATAGGGTGTGGTTGAATCTTTTGCCAACTGAATCTTGTATCATTCAAAGCCTACTCTTTTTGCCTTCAAACCTCAAAATACAGATTTGAATCATGCCAGTATTTCAAATTCATTACACGCCTGTAGAAATTAATCATTGGAACTTTTTCCTTGCACCCATTGAATACTGCCTCTGAGTTGAGCTCACAATTCATCCTGACTGGAGAGAAACATATAAAACTAATAGTAGTAATGGTTTGATGTTTTGTTAAATGTGATTATGGCTTAGTACTTTTAGTATCTCTCTCTTCTCTCTCTCTCTTGTGAAAGATGCGTATAGGACTACATTCTGGCTCCGTTTTTGCCGGTGTTGTTGGTGTTAAAATGCCACGTTATTGCCTGTTTGGAAACAACGTAACACTTGCCAACAAGTTTGAGTCCTGCAGTGTCCCTAGGAAAATAAATGTGAGCCCCACTACCTACAGGTACAGTAGCTTACTATGCCCAGTGCTTAGCTTTTGCCATTTGTTTGTACCACTATAGCAATGATCTGAAACCTTTCCTTCTCTCAGGTGGCGTTCTGTTTGGACTCTTATTCCCTTACCTTGTGTGGAGTGAGTCTTTCCAGGCCCCTACTTGTGCTGGTGAGATCTCCAGGTTACATCTGAAATATGTAATAATCATTTTCGTTTTCATTGCAGGTTGCTAAAGGATCACCCTGGCTTTGTGTTTACTCCCCGCTCAAGACAAGAACTTCCTCCCAACTTTCCAAGTGATATACCTGGAATCTGTTATTTTCTTGATGCTTATCTTCAAGGGAAAACTACAAAGGCCTGGTTTCAGAAGAAAGATGCTGGAGAAGGAAAGACAAATTTCTTGGGGATATCAACAGGAGTAGATTAAATTGCATTTTGAGGACAAGATAGTGTGTGTGTGTTTATAATATTTCTGAGTTTTGATTTTTTTTTGTTAAAGAAACATAATAGCACTTTAGCTTATTAATCACTTGAAAGCCAGTATTAAATTTTATAAAAAAGGATATCACATACTACTTTGAATTTTTATTGAGATAATATATTCAGTGAATAGCAAGGAATAGTTGAAGCAGGAACAAGACAGAGCCAGTCTGCCTGTGAACAATTCCTTCCCTCTAGCAGTGAACTACTTTGAACCCATTTTTTGATAGCATGTGCTTTGCACCTCCCCAACCTTTCCAGTTTTTAGAATCAGCTTTCACAAGGACTTCTCATCATTTATACATCCAGATCTAAACTGTGGCTGTATGAGCATCAGAGCATAACATAGCTTTTAGTGCACAGGAGATAAATACAAACTCAGATGAATGCCACTGCTGTTTTAGTGAAGTTTTCTGAATGATTTTATAAGGGTTGGGAGCAGGCAATTATACATTATTGTCTGGTTTCTATTACATTTATCAGTGACCTCTTACACTTTCGTGACCTGCTGAGTTTCCACTACTATGGATTTAGCAACCCTCAGGTATGCCAACCAGCTGTTTAGACTAAAACATTTATAAACATAGCCCAAAGGCCATGGTTTATGGGACCTGTAGTCCAGAATATCTGGATTTCATACCTGCCTGTGGAAATCCAATTCTTGTTATTTTTCTTCTGAACTTTTTATGGTTGACTTCCTGGGCAATTTTCTAGATACGTGTAAATTAACTGTGGTGACGCTGTGCTCCCTGTTTCTAGTCAGTTAAACAATATTTACACCTGTAGACTACATAGAATTAAATTCAGAATTGCCACTCTGGTTGGTTCTGTGCCTAGTCTTTTAATGCAAAGCTGTTAATGTTATCTATAATTTTCAACTTTCCATGAAAAGAATATATGTTTTATCCAGCTTATGTGAAGACCATTGAAATTACCCATTACTGTGATATTTGCACCTTAACATTAACATGAATGCTTTTGTCAGGTGGTGATACCAGAGGTTATGGAAATACCAAGAAGTAAATAATGTCACTTAGTCTACAATTTTATGCACATCTATTGGAATAAATGCCAATGAATTCAGTGGGACTTCTGAGTAAACCTACAAAAGACTACTTTTCTCCTGCTTGTATGGTTCTTGGCAATTTTCAGAACTAGTATACAGAAGATGCCGCTCACTGCTATCACTGTCTATAAATTAATATATGTAATATATTGTATAATTAAATCTAAAATATGTATTCAAACAGCATTTTAAGTTTGGAAGTTACACATTTTATAGGAAGCACATATATTCCCTGTTCTGTATAATAGCAATAAATGTTTTCTTGAGTTGTTATGTAATTTTAACTGTTTAGATTAAAATGTGTATAATATTTGCTTAACAGTACTAACATAATATTCAGCACAGAGATATGGGGAAAATATGATGAAATGAATCAAATATATGTATATAGAGACTTTGAATGCATTATGGTCATGTTTGATATATAATGAGCTCAATAAAAAGAATTACGCAGAATTACAGAACTTCAATTTATTTTGCATTGGTATACTTTATCTGTCATTTGTGTTTTAGTAATATCATTAGTATTATAGGACAGCATTTAATTTAATTCAATCCTTATGTACTCCGGTCTTAACTAGATCCTGTCCAATTCTCTTTTTAACAAATGCACACTACTTTTATAGCTCCTAGTAGTTCTGAACAACTAGGCATGTTTACTCCAATTCATTAGTGCCAGTATGTTTATTAATTATGGTTCATCCTTGTTCCATGTCATATATCAGGGATACATAACTGGACTAAGGACCATATTTGTCCTTTGAGAGCTGCCAGTGCCATAATCTGAAAAGGAATGGGTAGGACAACAGAAAATTGATCTAATTTCTTTTACAATTTATATTTAATTAAAATGAAACATAGTTGTGCTATGTACTTAACAATTTTCTTCTTCTGTCTCATTAAAAATAAGAGTTTGGAAACAATGTTTATAGGTCTCTGGAGGCCACACCTAGGGCTTCTAATGATACCACAGACTTAAGGCTGTGCAACACACCTCTTATGGGAGGAGAAACTCTACACAAGTAACTTTCATTGCAACATCTTGGTCCCTCATGTATGGCTGATTTTCAGAGACACTGAAATAAGGGGAAATAAACCTAGATAGTACTTTGTAAGAAAAGAACAATATGTTTAATGTTATGCGAAGAATTAGACATTATTTTGAATCATTGTATCATGCATTTTATAAAGCTTGAGACAAATGGGAACATGAATTCTTCCACTTGTATTTGTATTCTATTGTTTTTGTATTGTTCCATTTGTATTCTTCCCTTTCCTGTACTTGTACCAAAGGCCTCTTAAGTTTTAAAATTGCCTAATTCTGCAAAAGTAAGAAATAATTGAATAGAGATTAGTCAAGTGCAAATTATTTAAGGATAAATTATGTACCTAGAGATATATGAAACATACCATGTAGGTTGGGAAACTACAAAAAAAAAGGTGCAGTTCAGGTCACTGAAACTTCTTGCATCTTTACACCCCCTCCCCCATAAACAGTAGCACTTCAGTTTAAGAAACAACATGCAGTATCTTCAGTCTTATGTTTAGTTCTGATATGATACAAAAAGCTGTTGGAATGTTTTAAAATACAGTTTCAGGCTCTATAATTGTTAACAAATCAATGAAAATATAAAGCAACAACAATAGTCCATTTGCAAAAAAAAATCTTTGAATTTCAGGGTCCCTTGATTAAATAGCATAGCCCTTTGGAAAGTCTCAGAATGCCTTTTGGTCTCACTTTCCACTAGTATTCACTTCTTGGGTGGGGGCATTGTAGACACAAGCCTGCTTTATATGCAGATTCCACCTATGATTTAGGACTCTTTATGAAGAGTTATAATCATTGCCTCTTAATATGTAGTAAGCTTTTTTTAACAGATGTAAACACAAGCTAAAGCTGGAGGAAGGGGGAATCCCAGAATGCAGAACGTAGAATAATAGTTTTAAGGCACCAGAAGGCATATTCTGGTGGAAAGTTAAAGTAAAATCAGTTCAATAGGAAGTGGATTTCTTTAAGCAGAAGTAGATTTTGTTCTGGATATTTTATTTTGGATCCCAACAATGAGCAAAGTATTAGACTTGATAGGTTAAATGGTCTCTATAATGAAGTGATTCTGTGACTGGAAGTTTCTAAAAAACTGATTCCGTAGCCATTAGTTAGCATAGAGGATGCCAATATCTCTCTTATTTGGTGAATCTTAGCTATTGACTATTGTCAACTACTTCACCTTCCTGTAATAGATACAACTCTTCCAGTTTTTATCAGAAATTATGATATGCAGTATTACTACAAAGAACTGGAAAGAAGAAAAATTATTGCTTTCCTGTATGAAGTCTGTCCCAGTCATATCCAAAGTTTCCTTTGCATTGTATGGCTGGCTTTCAGTGCCATGAAATTTAGTTTATATGCCTGTTGAAGCATATACACACACATAACTCATTGCTTTGAATACTCCACAATACCCAAATACAACAGTTCAAGATGTTTTCTCTCCCAAGTACAAAGGGTGGATCTGAATGTTAAATATGCAGTTATGTTGGAACATGAGGTTAGACATACAGTCAAAGAAATAATAAACTGTTCAGGAATTTGGAATAAAATAAACAATCCTCTAAAGATATATGTCCCCTGGGCTTCAGAGGTTTCAGAGTTGACAGCAGAGCAGCTCTTCTGCTTATGCCAGCAAGTGAAAATAAACTATTTTTCCTTTATGTCTACTCAATCTTCATATCCTTAAATACATGAACATACCCCAATTAACATAACATACATTTTACATACCCTTGATAATCTGTAATATTTGCTGAAGGAATTCTTAAATATCTAGCTCTAGGTTTGGAATAACTGGCTCTGGGAATAACTGGATCTTGGTTAGGAAACTTTTCTGGAAGCTGTGAAATAAATAAGGTTTCATCTCTGGTTGAAGAGTAGGAAAGAAAAAAGACATTACTAGATAATCAAGCAGCTTCACTGGCTTGTTCAGAAAGAGACTATCAGAGAACACTAGCTTTGCCTGTGGTACCTCTAGACTTTTAATACGCTGTAATAATAGCAGGAATTGCCCCATAAAAAGACACAAGAGATAATTCCATTTGGGGAAAACCTCCAGAGATTTATCTAGGGAAGCAGCTGTTCTCAGATCAGTTTGGCAAGATCTGCGCAATGTTAAGTAAAGTTTATTTATGTCACACTTAAATCAGTTTGCAAAGTATGTAGCAGCATATTTTGCTTGATGACAGCATGCATACTTAAAATAAAAAGCACTAGTAAAATATTAAGCTAAAGCAGTTTTGAAAATGGGCTTTTAATGAAAAAGCTGGCAAAAGGTGAAAGCAAGGGTTCAGTTTATATTGCACTGCAAATGCAAATGCAGTAGATAAGGGACACAAGGGAAGACCTGAGAGAGATTTAATACTTTTCAGTCTGTTGACAATACAGATAAGGAAAAAATCAAGTTCAAATTTATCATCTGAAAACATTGGATGACCAACCAAATGTTTTGGAAAGCAACAATTCTTCTCTAGACAACTGAGATTGAATGGATACAGACATGACTGATTTAAAGGTATTGACCTGAAGAGATCCAGTATTTGGGGATTTCTAGGTAGAATTATAGTACATTGTATGTGGTATAAAAATCCAGATTGCCTGATTATGTCAGGCTGGTTTAGACTAGTCAAATGAAGATGTCTAGAGGAAGTGGAGTTGTGCCATTTTGAGGAACTGGGATGCTTTGAAGTTGATGTCCAAAGAGATTTTTTTTTGTCATATTCTAGTTTTATAATGAACTTCTTGTAGGAAACAGGAATCAATTTATAGCCTATTTACTTCTTCTGGCCTCAAAGATAGATAGATTTGTAGTTTGGCCCTGTTTTGCAGAGGATTTTTAATCAAATCACTTTTTTTCAGCCAATTTTCAGCTCACATTTTTTAATCACTAACCTGCAAACCAGGTGCAGGGAGAACTTGGATTGGTATTATTATTTTATTTTATTTACCAATAACCCACAAATTGGAAGGAATGACTTGAATTGAGCCATAATTTGTTATTGGAACCAAACTTGTTATTTACATTAAATAGCTGGAATTTTCTTTCCCTAGACTATTGTCAGCTGATGTTTGACAGCATTTTCAACCTTAACTCTTTTTTACAGACTTTTTTTTTTTTTGTTTGTTTGATTTTGTAGCTTCTGAACATCTGTGTGTTCTTTGGTTAATTCATTTGGAAGGGATTAGTCTTCCATCCAGTACAAATCACCAAACTGAGATAGCTACATGTAAAAAAGAGTGACTGACCTGGCAATTCTGCTGTCCCAAATGTCTTAACATTAAATTTTTCAGCATCTCATTTAATATGTTGGGTATGCTGAAGGCAATCTATGTAGAAGGCATTAAATATTAACTTGAATCTGTTGAAAGTTCTTTGGCATTAGGGGTGCTGCCTAAAATACCATTCAGATTCATATATTTCAATGTAGGTATCTATTCTGAATTGAATAATGAAATGTTTCATTTTTTAATGGTATGGTATGGCATAGTTACAATATTATAGGTATTCAACAGAATGCAATAAATCAAATAATGAGAAACTTGGATAACTCTGATACTAAGGGTTACTTTTGCAGCAGCATCAAAATATATCTAATACTTCACAGTTTCTCCTTTTCCACTTCATAGATGTTAATCACTACAATGTAATTAAAAATCCAATACTGATCTACCTCTGCATTCACATTATTGCTTTGGACCTATCATTGTATTCCTTACCTTTATCAGTTATTTTCAAAAAAGTAGAAGACACCAATTGCTTGGATCATTTCCCAATTGATTTATTTCTGCCAAGAGAGCTATTTATTTAACTTTTATTTTCATACAGTTTTTCAGTATATTATGAAAAACTCCTGCTGTATTTTGCAAGAAAAACATTTAATTTCATGTCTAAAATGGGTCTCAGAAGACTTAGGGGTTGGCAGAAAGAGACATTTTAAATGAGACCTTAAGAAATATTTTTGAAACATTTGGCACTCTGGTGGGGTCAGGTAACTGTGGACTTCAGAATGTTGTTCTACTATAGTTACCAATATTCCTTACCATAATGCATGATGCTTGGAGTACAGAAGTTGTAATTCAGCAATGAAGAGGCTCATATCCCCTATCCTTGTTTTACTGCTTCCCATCTATATACAGATATCATTTTGGAAAATTGTATGGTTTTCAGCCCCCGTTTTTAATGTTCACTTTAATGATGGACCAATCTGGAAAATAATCACAGCATTTTCCATTTTCTGTGGGAAGGGTCTGTGCTAGTACTGTTAACCTTGTCATTCAGCTGTAATTATACCACCAACTGAATGCTGTCCAATTTGCTCTTCTGCACTGGAGTTGGTTAAGGAGGGTTAAACTACAATAGAACGCACGTCACCGGCGTCAACTGGCAACTGAAATGAGCTGAGAAAGAGACGGTAGCATCTATCATGTCCAGCTCTTGATGGGGCAGAATATCTAAAGATCGAGAAGCAACATCCCTGAGCCTGTTGGAGACCTGGATCAGAGAACTATGTAACAGATCTCCATTAAAAGAAGGAGAACGTGCATACTGCACTTCCAGGGGGGGAAATCATGGCTGGAATTGACTCTGTCGATTCAAGTACAACCGAGACAATGAAATATAGCAGATAGTTACTCGGAAAGACTGGGAATATCCAGTTTCTAGAAAGGTACATCTCTGTATTAATCAGAAAAAAGCAAACGGTAACTAAGGCGACCGAGCAGCTGCTAAAATTACTGGGGAAAGGCGGCATGCGTGTGCGCGAGAAGGAAGACCCTGCTCTCCCAGCATAGGGGCATCACGCGTGAACACCTTCAATCGCGCCGTTTCGCACCCGTTGCATCTTCTCCTTCTCCCTCCCACTGTCGGGCACTCGCGTCTCCGCGAGCGCCGTGTACATCGGCCCGCATTCTCCTGCCTTCCGATCCATTTTCCTCCCCCGGCCTCTCTCGCCCCCCGCCCTGGGCCAGAACAGCACCCAAATTCCCTCCTCTGCTTCTGATTGGAAGCCACCCTCCGGGCTGATCTTGCGATTGGCTGCGGCCCGGTGACAATCAGAGGGTGCCCGCGGGGGCGGCTGGCGCGCTGAGCTGCAGCCTGCCTGCTCTTCTTCAGCCTTTGCCTCGCTGAGCCGCCGCTGGAACAGTGTCCCCGCTAAGCCGGGGAGGGGTAGACCGCAGGCGCGATGGTGAGTGTCAGGGCGACGCTTCCCCGGGCCCTTCGGAGCGTGCTGGGTCCTCTTCAGCAGCAGAGGTGGGGAAGGAGAAGATGCGCGGTGCTGAGACGGGAGGTGGGAAAGGGGGAGAGGAGAGGAAGACAGGCGCTTCGAAGGAGGAGAGAGGTGCAAGCGGAGGGGTGCAGCGGCCCAACCTGCTCCGTCCTATCTGTCCCAGTCCGGATTGCCCCCAGCATTTCCCCGACCCCCTTCCCTTCTGTGCAGATTAGTAGCTCCGCCTTCAGCAGGGCGTTCAAATTTGCCTTGGGTAGGCATAAAATACCTGGAGTAGGTGAAGGGGGAGTTGCTAGCTCTCCTACCCATTCTCTTGCTCCTTCGGAAACCAACCCGGGTTTGTCTCGGGGTTTCCAGTACCCCTCTTCTCCCTCTTGCCCTTTGCTACTCGCAGAGTGCCCCACAGCCTTCCAGCCACAAGAACTTTCCCCCACTTTTTCTTTGACAGTATGGCTTCGTCAATCACGCCCTGGAGCTGCTGGTGATTCGGAATTATGGCCCTGAAGTCTGGGAAGACATCAAGTAAGTAGGAGCCTCGCGGGCTTCAGCTTTACCTGCAAAACCCTGGGGCCAAAGACTGTGTGCAGACGCTGCTGTCCTTCCCCCCCTGGGAACTGGCTTTGCTTCCTTGTTCCTTATCAGGAAGTGGGGTGAAACGGTTCCCTGCAGGCTCTTCCTCCTCCTTGTCCCATGCCTGGTGGAGTTGAGGAGTGAGGCTGCTTCCATTGGTGGGACTCTCTCCAGTCCTTTGCTTTGCCTGGTTCTCACGCTCTGAAGGGCTCAGGAGGGAGAAGAGTGCTGGGGAAGAGTGAGCAAGGCCCTTTTCCCCCAAGGGGAAAAAGAGGAGGTGAGGACAGCTCCAGCGCTCAATCACTCTTGGGAAGAGGTGACCCCAGTCCTTTTCATCTCTGGCTCTGACTGCAAAGCTGATGGGAAAACCAAAATGGGCAGCTGAAACTTCTAGGGTTGAGAACCTCTGTGGGGGAGGAAGTGGACAAAATCCTGAGTTTTCAGCATTTTTTGTGACAGCAGCTACTTTTCAGGGTAGAGTATGTCCTGCTCCTTGAATTTTTCAACTAGGATGAGAACACCCCTCTCCAGTGTTCCCTTACTTAGGATTATATCCAGTTTTGCTTCCTGGATGTAGCCTCTTAAGTAAATATGCACTTGGTTTGCAAAAACAATACATAAACCTGATAGTTATAAAAAAAAAAAATCCAGAATATGCAGTGGGGTTTTTTTTGTATGTGTGCTTCTGAGCCAGTCTTGACTCCTGGCAACTTCCTAGACAAGTCCTTGTAATTTTCTTGGTAAGATTTCGGAAGTGGCTTGCCATTGCCTTCTTCCTAGGGCTGAGAGAGAGGGACTAGCTCAAGGTCACACAGCTGGCTTCATACCTAAGGTGGGAGTGGAACTCATGGTCTTCTGGTTTCTAACCTGGTGCCTTAACCACTACCCAAGACTACAGTAGCCATGATCGTAACTTTATTAGGACCAACTATTAGTATTCAAGCTTGCAGGTTCTCTGTATGTTTTTATAGATGCTAAATATAAAACAAATTGTGTACTTGTGTGCGGATGCAAGCTGGCCAGCACTAGAGAGCCATCCATCCTACCATCCCAAGAAGAGGTCTGGAGAATGTAAAAGCTTGCACACTATGTACTGTTTTAGGGTTATATTTATTATTGGGTGTAATATAAATATTATCCCACTGAGGCTTATGCATAAAATTGGGGTGTAAACTGAGCAGGGATATTATTATTCCTGATTCCAATTATTCCTGATTGGATATAAATTATTTTTAAGATGACTTCTTTTTTGAGAAATTGGTTGCTCTGGGTCTACAAAAATTAATAAATGTTCCTCACATATCATTCTTGCCAAAATAAATTTGGTGTTAGGATATCTTAAATGGGATTCTAATGTGGGGCAAGTGATTAAGTATAATTTCCTATGGATTTATAGTATTGTGTTAGTCTTATGTGCTACATGCTATGTATGCAAAATTACAGCCTTGTTTTATGTTAAATATTTTCAAGAATTACTGGCATAGCCCAATTGCTATATTAAAATCAGTGTAAACAACCAAAGAACATAATGCCAACACATCCCAAAAATGTATAGAAAAAGAGTAGAAAAGCACATTCTTTTCACTTGTTGGTTGCAAATGTGGCAGCTGGCTGTGGGTATTAAGGGTCCTTTCTAAGACCCTTAGAAATACTGAATCCAAAACTGGGTGTGGAATTTACTTCAGATAAATAAACAAGAGTACTTTTTTCTAATCTCTAGGCCAGGCTCTCTCAACTGAGATTTTAGCTCCTGGGCCTATTCCTTCACTTACAGAACAACAAAGGAGATCCCTCTTCATGAGGCAGTCCCCTGATCCATTTAGAACACTCTTTTTTGTTAATTGCCAACTGTTTCCTGGGATTTCAGGCAGGAGTATTTTTTAGTCCTACCTGGAAATGCCAGTGATAGAACATGAGATGTTCTTCCTGCAAACTTTAGCTCCTTTGTTGATGTATGATTTCTTCCCTGGGGTCTGTCAAATGGGTCCGTTGTGTAATTAAGTTGGTAGTTACACAATGAACTCACTTTTCATAGTGACTGAGTTAATATTCAGCCTTCTTTCCATCCCAAATTTATGTATTTCTGAAAGTGCAATTACTCTCTGTCACATTATCTTGTCAATCTCTTGAGGACCAAACTTATGCCAGAGGAAAGAGGTTAATAAGAAGAGGTAGAAGAAAATCACTAACATGTAACAGGCAGAATGGGAATGAAATACAAACCATAATCTTGTTTCCTGTATATCTCCAGCAAACAGGTTTGTAAGTGCATGATACAGATTTGTGTTGCTAGTGTTCTCTATATCACATGATAAGAAATGCATGTTGTTCTTTCAGAAAGTGAACTGTGTTTCTCATTTAAGGTCTTTGTCTTTTATACTGTTGTTTTCCTTATGAGTATTGTAATAGTGAAGAAGTAGTTTGCCCAACTTTAACCTCTGCCTATGACAAATATATATTTCCATTTTCTTAATTAAATCTGAGTTATGGCAGGCATAACATTAAACTGAATTACACTAATTTAATTAACTGAAGATGCAAAAAGAGAGGTCCATTTAGCTATTTCAGCATGCAGCTATTCTAGTCTTTCCATGGGACTTGGACAAATGAGTTTAATCTGTCATAATCACAATAATTGACAGTGCAATATGCATTATGTGCCAAAAAATAATTGAATTCTTGGGGCTTATTTCCTTAAGAGGTGAATATATCATTGTAGCCTACATGAAATTTCAGAGTGCAACTGAATTTTTCATTTACACACAGTGAACCAAAACAATACTGTATTAAGCTGAAACAGATGAGTTTTATCATTTCTAAGACAGAAATAAAACAATACACCTAAAAAAACACACACGAACAACTAGCAAACCTGTATAGCAGGACTAACCACTCTTTTGTATCCTGCTTTAAATTACTAAGGTTCTTTTGTCTGAACTTTCCCACAGTGAGCCAAACCTGACCTTCTGATTTATTTTCAAAATATTGCTTACAGGATTCTATTTTCTTAGGGACTGTATAAAGGCAAAAAAATTGTATGTATGTGCACGTGTATCTATCATACAAACTAAACAGATCATTTGTATCCTTTAAGCAACTTTAATAAAATTTTTCATCCTTACCTGAATTAGAATCAATCTGAATCATAAAAGTGATATAACATGAACTCTGAATTCAAGCTACTCTCATCTTCCAAAGTTACACAGGAAGATCAGACAGAAAACCTCAAATACCTTGTTTAGTGTATTTTTAATGCATCTAAAACAATTCTTCCCTTTTAAAAGTAAATTATTTGTTGAGAAATGTAGTAAATAGGTAAATAGCATATATTTACATGTACACACTGATTTTTAAAATGCATTTAACATAATTTTGTCCCAGAGAAGTACATCTTAGGGCAGTTTATAATAAAAAATAAAAAGTGTTAAAATACAGTGATAAAATACCATAAATTAAAAGTGTTTAAAACATATTTATTAAAATGAGTGTATGTGTGTAGGGGGGATCAAAACAAAACAATTCATCCCCATAAGGAAGGACCTAAAAGGGATAATATGCACCTCATGAATATATGAGGTAGAACATTCCAGAGTGAAGACAGAGAGGGACTGTCTATCAGTGTTCACAAGATGACACAATCAGTTGCAGCAATGCAACAGGTACTCCATTAATGATCTTAGCAATTTTCCAAGTCTGTAACAGGAAAGAGTATCTGAAGGTATCAAGGTCAAAAGTTGTTTAAGGCCAAATGTGACACAGCAAACTCTTTAACCTGTATTATGCTAATTTACTTTATATAAGATTGCCCTTGAAGATTACCACAAAGTTTCAGTTGGTGCAAGATACAGTAGCCTTAACTGTTTCTGGTCAGTTGCATGATTGCCATGTTACTCCACTGCCAAAGGAGTTCTGCCGGCTAATGATGTGTTTCAGAGTGCAATTTAAAGTGCTGGTTGCTACCTTTAAAGACCTATATTGCTCAGGACGTGGGTATCTAAAAGTCTCCCTTTCTCAGCTGAATTAGGCCTGCCTGATTTGGGCGACCAGAAAGCACTTGTTAAGGGTCCCCACTTACTATGAGGTGTGATGGGAGAGGGCCTGACTGTGAGTGTTCTCTGTGGGGGCTCCCTTAGAGAACAGCTTGCTCCGCAAGGCAAAAAAGATGTTCTGGGAGAGCTTTGGGAATTAAATGTGGAATCCTCTGTGCCAATATTATTGTTATTATTGTGTGTTCATTTACTTTCATTCTATTACTTTCTAGTATTAGTATCAGTATTGTATGTAGAGTCATTGCTAAATGTCTAAACTAATTAAATAAACTTGGCTTCATAGCTAACTGGCTGCAGAGGTGAAGATACATGGCCAGCTGTCCAGTTCAGCAACTTAGCTGCCATATTCTGTACCATTTATAACTTTCAAACCAAACACAAATATAGTCTTGTATGGTATGTGTTACAGTAATTTATACACAAGTTTATCAGTGTATGAATGCAACTAGCCAGGCTGTCTCTGCCAGGAAAGGCAGAGATGGTATACCAGTGGAAGATTTCAGCCTTACCAGGTAGACCAGACAGGAAATATGACCAGATGAGCTAATTCTACTTTATTGTATGGCTACATTAATAGAATCTTGCAAGTCTGAAAGTACAGTTCTCCCCCTGTCTCCTTTACACCAAAAGAAATTAGGGAGGGTCTCTTCTGAGCCTCTTGCCCTGCTTACTATCCAACTGCAGACTCTGCTGTCCCTTATCTGACTGTTCCCTAGGCAGCATCTCTGGGCCCAGTCTCCCAAGGTCATTCACACATACCATTACAGAAGGTGAAAATAGTTACTCCTGGCCAAAAAGTAATTCAACCTTTAATTACTATGAGGCTTGTTGGAGTTTCCCCAAACAATATATCCATTCTTTCTGAGAAATGTAACAATGACAGACTTACCACTTCTCATACCT